GTAATTAGCAAAGGAATACAGTGGGTTTGTTTATTCAGTCATGTCTGGAAATATTCTTGAAATACGGAACAGAAGTATCATTCTAAAATGTTATATTTATTGAATACAATGTCATGTCTCTTTTGTAATGCTCTACAAAATAGTAGCATAGAAAATCATGGGTTAACAACATTATCATGATGAAGAAGAACATAAAAATTAAATGGTGAAGATTTTGTCATAAATAAGAGTCAAAACCAAGGTGGGGTTGTGGCTCAGCTATAGAGCGCTTGCCTAGCACGCATGAGATACCGCACAAAAAAACTAAATAAACAAAATAAAGGTATTGTGTCCATCTGCAATTAAAATATTTTAAAAAATCATGGCCTCTTCACCAATTCTGCCTGCCTGCCTTCAGTCCTTTCTTCCTTTTTTTTTTTTTAATAAAAAAAAAGGTCAAAGCCATTGAGACAGGCAGAAAAAGAATGCTAGGAATTCTATTAACTGTTACTTTCAAACCAGATTGTCTGTTCCCAGATTGTGCCCTTTGTCTTGAGCTCATCAACCCTTACTGATAGCCCTTTGGCTAGAGTTAGAGTGTTGGGACACTTGAGTATGCTTTGTGTCTTTTCATAGTTCACTTCTATTTTTGTTTTTGTCACATGTCTATCTGCATTAACACTCTGGATACTGGCCATGCATGTTTGGGTCTCACCCACCTTTCTCCCTTTGTATTGGTGTTTGAGTCACATGCTCTCTAACTATGTCATCAGTCTCATCCTATCCCCATGTCTGGCCTTAGCTTCTGGACACTCAGTTTGAGGTCTCCATTGGTCAGATAGGGAGCAAAGACCCTTTCAACATATAGTAAATTATATTTATAATAACAGTGCATTTATTTAAATATTCATAAGGCTCACCATCAATTCAATTTAATAAAGCAGGATAAGCATGATCTTCTGCATAAATTGTAGTAGCAAGCATCAAATTTGAACACCTTTCTAAAACAATCAAAGCCAAAAAATAAAAAGACATAAAACAGTAGTTTTCAAGACACTAGATATCAGGCAATGAAAGAACATGATGACTGGGTGTGATGGCATACTCCTCCATGTCTATAATCCCAGTTGCTCAGGGAGACTGAGACAAGAGAATCCTGAGTTCAAAGTCAGCCTCAGAAGTTAACAAAGCCCTAAGCAACTCAGTGAGATCCTGTCTCAAAATATAAAAGAGGGCTGAGGATGTGGCTCAGTGGTTAAGCACCCCTGGGCTCAATCCCTTTTACCTAAATAAATAAAAGAACATGGTACCTGAGAAAGAACAAAAAAAAATTAGATCCACACACATGTGAAAACTGAATTTTAAGCAAGGTATAATTGCAATGCAGTGCACAAAAAGACTTTAGAAAAAATGGTTCTGAAACACATGGGCTACATGACCAAAAAAAAAAAAAATTTTGTTGTTTTTCTGAACCCAGGGCATTTTACTATCAGGCTATATCCCAAGTCCTTTTTATTTTTGAAGTAGGGTCTCACAAACTTGCAGAAGACATTGCTAAGTTTCTGAGATTGGCCTCAGACTTGCAATTCTCCTGCCTTAGCCTCCTGAGTTGCTGGGATTACAGGTATGTGCCACTGTGCCCAGCCAAAAAAATCTTTATCCACAAATTATATCATATATAAAAATTGAACCAAAATGAACCAAAATCAGGGATGGGGCTATAGCTCAGTGACAGAAGACTTGCCTGGCATGCACAAGGCCCTGGATTAGATTCCCAGCACCCCATATACAAATGCAAATGAATCAAAAGCAGATCTCATCAATATGGTAGACTGGCCCATTTTCCCTTAAAACAATTTTTCAGCCATCATAGGCAAAAGTGCCATTGTGAGAGCTTTGGGATTCTGATAGGAAGTTGTAAAACCCCAGTGGAACCTAGGACCTAGGAAGGCCAATTTGAGAGGATATCCTTGTGCAAGTTGACTAACTGTAATGCCAGGTTCAAATCACAAACATCCCCATTCCCCTCAACTATGGCCATATTCAGTCTGAATCTTGTCATCAGGATCTGTTGTACATCATGGTAATTATAGTTAACTACATATTGTATACTTGAAAATTGTTAAGAATAAATTTTATGTTTTCAACTAAAAAAAGAGCAAGTATGTGTGGTAATGCATGTTGTTAATTAGCATGATTTAAACATTCCACAATGCATATTAATATCAAACATATGGCATAAATATTTGTAATGAAAAATAAAATAAGAAAATGTGGCACATATATGCACAATGGAATATTGCCCAGTCTTAAAAATGAAGAAAATTCTCTCCTTTGCAGCAACATGCATAGACATGGAGACCATTGTATTTAGTGAAATAAGCCAGGCAGAGAAAGATAAATATTGCATGATTTCATTTATGTGTGGAATCTAAAAAAAAAAATGGAACTCATACAAGCAAAGAACAAAATGGTTATTACCAAGGTTGGCTGGGGATGGGGAAGGATGGGGAAGTATTTGTCAAAAGTTTCATTAACAGGTTTAATAAGTGCTGGAGAACTATTATTTAGCATGGTGACTATAGTTAACAATAACATAACTAAAAATTGCTGAGAGTTGATCCAAAATGCTTTAGCCAGAAAAAAATATGTGTGTAAGGTGATAGATTACTTACTTAGATTGGCTTAATCATATGAAAATGTGTATGTATATTGAAACATTATGGTATATATTTTAAAATATACATTTTTTTTTGTACTAGGGATGGTACTCAGGGGTGCTTAACCACTGAGTCACATCCTCAGCCTTTTTTATATTTTATTTTTGAGACAGGGTCTCACTAAGTTGCTTAGGGCCTTATGGTATATATTTTAAAATATACATTTTTTTTGTACCAGGGATGGTACTCAGGGGTGCTTAACCACTGAGTCACATCCTCAGCCTTTTTTATATTTTATTTTTGAGACAGGGTCTCGCTAAGTTCCTTAGGGCCTTGCTAAATTGCTGAAGTTGGCTTTGAATTCTCCTCCTGCCTCAGCCTCCCTGAGCCACTGGGATTACAGGTGTGTACCACCATGCCTGGCTAAAATCTGCAATCTTAATTTGTCAATTATGTCCTAAGAAAATTGGAGAAAAATGGATTATAAGCCATGTTTTCTTCCCTGTAAGGAGAATCATAGGAAAAAAAATCTGTGACCTTGGGAAAAGTAAATGTCTTAGATATGACATGAAAAACAATCAAAGAACAAATAGATAAATTGGAATTTATCAAATTTTAATATGTTTGCTGTTCCTTAGATACTGACAGGAGGATAAAAACAAATACATAGATTCAGAAACTACTTGAAAATTTTATGTCAGATAAAGAATTTTTAACCACAACATGCAATAAAAGTTTCAAGACTCAATTTTAAGCAATCAAGTTAAAAAATGGAGAGAATATTTGAGCAGACAGTTCATCAAAGAAGATAGGCATTTTTCTATGTGCTTGTTTATCATTTGTATATCATTAGAGAAACAAAACAATGAAATACTTCCACAAATTAATTAGGTAGATAGACTTAAACAATTAACAAAAACCTATTTAAATTGTTCCCCAACATGTGAAGAAACTGTAACTCATGCTGTATATAGTTAATGAGAATGTGAAATCATTAAACCATTTTAAAACAGGTTTATGAGTTATTGAATTTTTAGACATATGCTGCCTATCACATAATCCACCCATTCCAGTCCTAGATATATATCCCAAAGAAATTAAATCATATGTTCAAACAAACACTTGTAAATGTTTATAGTAGCTTTAATTTCAAAGCTGGCAACTGATAAAAATCCAAGTGTCAATCAACAGTTGAATAGACAAACATAATTGTGCTATAGGAACACTGTGGAATATTACCTAGAAATAAAAAGGAACAGATTATTGACACATGTAACAATATAGATGAAGCTCCAGGAAATTCACCAAATGAAAGAAACCCAGAAAATTGTTACATACTACATGATGACATTCTTATAAAACTCTAGAAAGAGCAAAGTGATCTACAGTGACGTAATGCAGTGAAGTTGTCTAGGAAATGATTGTATGCACAATGGTGGGAGGGAAGGAATATGAAGGTCTTCGAGAAAATGTTTTGGAGTGATGAATATTATTCACTCTTTAATGTGGTCACTATTTCACAGATGTATTTGTGTATTAACATTAATGAAAGTCTACACTCTAAATATACACTTGACATCACTTATGAATGAATTAAGCTCTTAAGGGCAGGCTAAGACTTAAAATAATTCAAATTGTTTCAATACAAAACCTTTGACATTTGAAGGGGTAAACAGGCAGTGTCCCATGGGAAAATTATTAATTTCTATAAATTCTGGATAAGTGAATGAAATAAGCTGGTACATGTTTATATTGGTAACGATATTACACACCTTTTTTTCTGGCTAAAACATAACTCATAAAGCTGTTTTAAAATGATTTCATGATTTTACATTCCCATTAGCTGTATATAGCATGAGTTACAGTTTCATGTTGGGGAACAATTTAAAAAAATAGATTTTTGTTAATTGTTTAAGTCTACCCACCTAATTAATTTGTGGAAATATCTCGTTGTTTTGTTTTTCTAATGATATACAAATGATAAACAAGTACATAGAAAAATGCCTATCTTCTTTGATGAACTGTCTGCTCAAATCTTCTCTCCATTTTTTAACTTGATTGCTGTTTTCTTGGAGGAAATAGAGAGGTTGTTGGGATGTTACAAATTAGTGTGCTGAGTTGTATTGTGCTTATTATTTTGTCATATAATTTTCCTTATAATATGTTCATCTTGAATTTCAGCCAATATTCTCCAAATATCAAATTATAGTTTTTCAGATAAAAAGATTAATTTCTGATGCTATAGTAAATATTTATCTGTCATTTTTATACAACTTAATTGATCCAAATAATCTTACAAACCTAAAAAAATAAATGTGTTTGCCAACATTAAACTTAATAAGTAATTTTTCATTATTTTAGGGCCCTCTGTCCTTAACTTTGGTGACGTTTCTGTGAACTCTACAAATACTCATTTATTACATGTCATTAATATGCTACCTATGTATATTTTGATCAAGTTAGATACTAATTTGGAAGAACTTCAGAAAACCAAACAGTTATCATATGTGATTCCACCTACATCTAATACTTATATTTCAATGATATTTGAATCTCCTACAACTGGAAAATTTTGGAAGTAAGATTGATTTTTGAATTTATTTGCTAGAATGATTTGTCAAATATGTATTTGTTTATATAAGTAATTGTAATGTGTATTTGGTTGCATAACATAGAAACTATATGTGCATCAGTTTGTAGACTGGTAGGTTCAAATTGTAGTGGATATTTTAATTCTCTTTCATAATTATTTTGAAATATTAAGTACTACATATTGTGTACATTACACTATGGTTTATACATTTTTCCACATAACTGGATTCTATGATTACAAATAGCTTCTATTAGTTACATTTAGATGCTTTTTGTTTTACAGATCTTTTACCTTTACAGTGAACAGCGTACCTGGAGGGCATATCTTAGTGATGGCAAATATCATGCCAGTAACACTTGAGCTATCGCTTCAGGAATTAGTATTGAGACCACAAAGCTTCTTGATGAAAACATGTTTTCGGGGAACAGTTAGATTGTATAATCGTCAGAATCGTTCTGCCCAATTTGGATGGCAACCAGTAAACACAATAAAAGGGATGGCATTTTCCATTCGCCCAGCTACAGGTAATGGTTTATTTTGTTTGATTTAGACATTCATATATTCATTCATTTGTGCATGCAGGCATGAACCACTTATTGTATACTGTGCACTTGTGCTAAGAGCATGGAAGTAAATTAGCTACTGTCATAGGAGCATTTATTTTTACACACACAAATATTATTTTAAAATATGGATACTATTTTAGTCAGAATTCTCCAGAGAGATAGAACCAATAGGAGATGGACATGAAGAGGGAGAAGCAGAGAGAGAGGAGGATCTTATAGAACCAGCTCTTGCTCACACAGTTGTGTGGATTGGTAAGTCTACAGGGCAGGTTGGAGATCCAGGAAAGAGTTGAATTGTGCTGTCTTCAATCCAAAGTCATTCTGGAGGCAGAATTAATTATTTCTCAAGACCTTTCAGCCTTTTAAGACTTTTAACTTATTGCCTGAGATCCACAGATATTATGAAAGGTAATGTGCATGTTAATTAATTTGCTTGTGACAATATACTAATGTACCAAATCATCATGTTATGCACTTGGACTACATAGAATCTTTGTCAATTAAATGTTTTTGAAAGTCTATTGATTTAAGTGTCAATCTAAATAGCAGCTTCACAACAGCATCTAGACTGGTGCTAGACCAAACAAGTTTCAGACACCTAAAAAATGGTGAGATGATATAGTCCATAAAGATTAAATTATGAAAACCTTCTATGGGGCTGATTGTGGCTCAGGGGTAGAGCACTCGCCTAGCATGTGTGAAGGCCTGGGTTCAATCCTTTGCACCACATAAAAATAAATAAGTAGAATAAAGGTATTGTTTCCAGTTAAAACTAAAAAAATAAATATTAAAAAAAGAAAAAAGAAAACCTTCTATAATATTTGACAGAGAGGTGCCAAATACACAGGTAGCTGTGTGATTATGAAAATTTTCTTATTCTCTTTTGGCTTTTATTACCCCTGAAAGTGTCCTCCAAGCAACACAACCTATCATGCATCTTGCTTTCCAACTCCTTGCTTCCTCCTTTCTTTCCTTTTCTCCTTTCCCTTTCTTTTTCCCTTCCCCTCCCTCATTTTATTTATTTCTAATTTAGGAATAGATCTAAATATACTATATTCAGATCACAGAGGAGCCTTGGTTTGTAGAAATCTTGCTCAAATTTCTTTTCTTGTGAATATTAGTCATTTCCAAATCAGAATTTTTATATATTTCTGCAAGGGTTTTCAAAAGGATCATAGTGTTATAAAATCAATCTTATGTATTAAATTAAATTCAATCAATTTTAATGTGCATTATAGAGGTGTTGACAAATTTAACAGGTGAAAAGAATAGAGTTGGAGATAATTGATACAGCTGTTTAATCTTTTGATTAACCTGGATTTATTTAACATAATCTCACATTATAATCTATTAAGCATCTGAGGTATACTTTCATCAATATTTCTCATATTCATTTAACTAAGCTCAATATTTCTCATATTCATTTAACCAAGCTCTTTTAAAATTACAATACTGGGGCTAGAGTTGTGGCTCAGTGGTAGAACACTCACTCACCTGGCATGTGTGAGGTCCTGGGTTCGATTCACAACACCATGAATAAAATAAAGTATCTTCAACAACTAGAAAAATTTTAAAAAATTACAATACTGATAAGCTGGGTATGGTGGCACATGCCTATAATTCGAGCTGAGGCAGGAAAATCACAAATTTAAGCCAGCTTCAGCAATTTAGTGAGGCCCTAAGCAACTTAGTGAGACTCTGTCTCAAAATAAAAGATATTTTCTCTCTTATGGCTGGGGGTGTTGTTCAGTGGATAAGTACCCCTGAATTCAATCCCTGGTAACCTTCTCCCCAAATGTAATACTAATAATACTGGATTCTGTTGTGATAAAATAATTAGAGAAGAAAGTGATCATTTTTCTGTAAATTCATATTTCTATACATTTCAGAGATTCTAGATAACCCTTCTTCAGTTTGTTTGAACAGATATAAGAACAGTGGTAGTTTGATATCAATATTCCAGCTATAATTTTTGACCAACCACCTGATATTGTCCCAAGAGTGTCTAAAATGCACAGTGCACTAATACTTTTATTTCTTTGTATTTCTCCATCCGAAACAGGGCTGAATGGATTGAAATTGTCCCTGATAGCCATGGAGATATAATGATGATACTTAATTTGTACCAAATACTAGTAGAATTATAATATAAACTGGACCACCAGTTATGCTTTATTGGTCTTTAGAAGTCTTATTTTTGTAGGGAGATTTTAGCATTTACTTTTTTTCCCTTTAGGTTGCCAATGACCCCTCTTACATTTTTTTAACTAAAAAAATATCACCAAGGCATAAAAAGCACTAAGACGTTAAATTCCAAAGAAAATGTTTGTATGAAAAAGACCATTAGTATGTAAATTCATTTTTTATTTTAAGAATACAAATGATAACAATGCTCTCAAAACTATTTTATATAGCATTGAAGAAAGTGTTACTTGTGTCATATATATAGATTTGTTTGTTGTTTTCCTCAGAATACTTCTATGATAATTACTCAATTTTATGTTGTTTTCCTCTTTGTATGAATAGAAAGTGACTTTTCACTAGATTATTTTTCTTATGCTCTATTGATTTTGCATCCTGGATAATACATTTAATTATATGCTTTTTTGCCTTTTTGGGGTAAACTAACATGAACAATTCTAAATTGATATTTATATTTTGTTTGTCCTTTCTTCCTGAGACATGATATATTTTGGATTTGTATTTGGGTAGCATATGTTGTAAGGGAATAAAATAAGAGTGCATTGATATTTTCTGAGGTAGAACTCACTTCTAATTTGATTTTTAAAATATGTATTGTTTATGCTTCTGTTTGTTTTGTTTTCTTCTTTGTTTCTTTACCATTACTAAAATACCAAGTGAATCCTTGAGCTTGCTTCAGTCATTTTGCTCTCATTGTCTTTCTCAGTTTTGTCAATCCTTGGCCATATAAAGTACCTGTCTTACCAGTCCCACTCTTGCTCAGTCTAGCCATTCAATTTATTTCCCCTGTTTCCTGATACATGTAATGTTCCTAGAGAAAAATATATAAGCACACTGATTGGAAGAAAAACAAAATCTCTTCAAATGGACCATTCAACAGGATTGTATAATGCTTCTACTGTCTCTGCTTTTCTTGGGGGCACTCAGATGACTTTATTTGTAGCATTGAATCTTCTTTTTTAAAAGTACTTCCCATCGTAGTTTTCCCCACACCCACTGTCTTCTTGTACTTTAATGTAATGACACTTAGGCTTCCCTCAAGTTTTGTCCTGCAAAGATCTAACTCATTCTTCATGTCCCAACTCAAATGCCATCTCCATATAGTGATGTTTCTTCTATTTCATTGAACTATATAAGGTTTCCTCCATCTTTTTTGCTATTATTATGCATTTGTTTTTAAATATTTATTTTTTAGTTGAATGCCTTCATTTTATTTATTTTTATGTGGTGCTGAGGATATGTATTTGTTTTTGCCATCTCCAAATATTTGTTTTTATCTGCCTCCTTTTGTCGTAGACATTGCTAAACTCATATCTGATATCCATTTCCCTTCATAACAAGACCCTAATTTGGGGAATGAGGTAGCAGTTATCTTATTTAGAAAGCTCTTTGCTCCAGCTTCCCTTGTCAAAACAGTATGAACAGAGATTTCCTTTGGCTTCATCCTCTTTATATGTGGGGGCACTATATTGTCTGTATGTAGCTATATGTAAAGCCGTCACTAATCCTAGGGTGATTGTTTCATTTTAAATTTTGTGTTGTTTTTTAAACATTGTTATATTTTTGTTGTATATTTTTATTGACCTGTTAAAATTGGGAAATATGCCAGGTGTGATGGTGCATGCCCGTAATCTCAGCAGGCTTGGGAGGCTGAGGCAAGAGGATTACCTGTTCATAGCAAGCCTCAGCAACTTTATGAGGCCCGAAGCAACTTAGCAAGACCTTGTCTCAAAAAATAAAAAGGACTGGGGATGTGGCTCAGTGGTTAAGCACCCCTGGGTTTAATCCCAGATACAAAAAAAAAAAAAAGGAAATAAGGTTTGCATTTTAGATTTCAATCAAATCCTATATGATTATGCCCATTTGATAATATCCCATTTAGCATTTCCCTATTATTAGAGTTTAATTTTAATAATTTGTTGTATAATGCAAGTAAATTTTAGGCCAGTTTGTCTTTTGAATATTAACAAAAAATTCAATGTGATAAAACTATGGTAAATGTTTTCTTTTCTCTCTATTCTCTGTAGGCACTGTTGAAGCATATTCATCACTGGAATGTGAAGTAATGTGGCAGCCAAGTTTCAATTCTCCAGAAAAGGGGGATTTTATTCTTAATGTCTCTGAAGGAAACACATTGACACTAAAATGTGTTGCACATGTAATTATTTCCTTTGAATATTTTTATTTTGAGGGCTATAAATTGATTGGGTATGCATATGTGTGCTGTATATATGCATATATATAGTATATTATGTATATAAACATACACTACATATAACACATAAAGTGTATGGAAAAACTGACTTTTCATGAAATACTTCATTAACTAAATTGTCTTAGCTCCTTCATGGAGCCTCGTGTCTATCATAAATGAAGAATTTGTTAAAAAATGTGTTAGGTATCTAGAATTAGCTAAAAAATCTAAGAGTTTTATGAAAACAATACTAGACTGTCAGAATCTCTATAAATCTATGATACCATCATGGAAGCAACTGGAAATTAAATTGTTTCACTAATAGACACCAAAGAAGAAGGGAGAAAATTATATTTTGCTCTACTGTATTGCATCGTTAATATTCTAGTAGTAGTTAATAATTCAGTATGAAATAGATCATGTAATTTACATAGTAGGAAAATATATATTTTTACATTTTTATGGAATATACATCTTGTAATAAAAATGTGAATAAAGCAAAAGCTGCAATAGATAATTTTTAAGCTTCTTTCTGTGGTAGAGCCTAGAAGGCCTTAACTTTATGGCTTCCTATCACCAAGAATGCACTTTACTAATATGCCAAATTTTTCATCCAGTGTTCTTTTTTTTTTTTTTTTTTTTTTGGTATTGGAATTGAACCCAGAGGGGCTTAACCACTGAGCTAAAATCCCTAGCTCTTTTTTTAATATTTATTTTTTAGTTATAGTTGGACACAATACCTTTATTTTATTTATTTATTTTTATGTGGTGCTGGGGATTGAACCCAGGGCCTCGCATGTGCTAGGCAAGCACTCTACTTGCTGAGCTCTTTTTTAATTTTGTTTTTACTTTTTGGTATTGGGGATTGAATCCAGGGATGATTAACCATTCAGTCACATCACCAGCCCTTTTTATTTTTTATGTTGATACAGGGTTTCATTAAATTGCTGAGGGCCTTGCTAAATTGTTGAGGCTGGCCTAGAACTGGAGATCCTCCTGCCTCAGCCTCCCAAGTCTCTGGGACTGTAGGCATGTACCACTGTGCCTGGCTCCACCCAATGTTCTTAAAAATTTAAAACAAGCCAAAGGCTATTTTACTAAACTTCATCTCTATCTATGGGACATGATGATAGTTTTACATATTTTAGCTGTGACAAAACTTAAAGTCTAAAAAAAGAGAGATTCAGAAACTTGAGTGGCATCAAATGGCAGTCAGAACACAGTATGGTTTTTCCTCTGGTCCAAGCTTGAAATAAGCTGAATCCCACTGTTTTTCAATATGTATAAATTACTTAGTATTCTTTCTTAAACTTTATGTTGAAATATAATATGCATAAAAAGGTACACAGACTGAAAATCATGTATCACTTAATCTTCACAAACTGGTAACATTTTTGTAACCCATTCCTAGATGAGCTAGATCTAGAAACATAATGTGATTAATACAACAAAAGAGCCACTCCACCTCAGTTCACATTTTCATTCACTGTATCCATCCCAAGATCATCACTCTCTTTACTTCTAAGAGCACAGATTAATTTTGATTTTGAACTTCATATACATGGAATTAAACCATATATCCTCTCATATTTACACCTTGTTTTATCATCATTAGGTTTGTGGGATTTGTCTATGCCAATTCATATGGTCATAGATTGTTCATTCTCATTCCTGAATAGTATCCCACTGTGTGACCATACTATCATTTATCCTCTATACAACTGATAGGGATTTGGCTTATTTCAGATGTTTAGCTAATATAATAATGTCTCTATCATCATTCTTATATTGCCTTGTGGTGAATATATGCACACAGATTTTTAACTGTTCTTTATGTAATTGTGCTTAACGACTTTACTATTATAAATTTGCTAACATACCTTATATGTATTTTTTTCTAACAGATAAAGATGACAATTTATTAATTTAGAATTAGCATTGGAGATACCATTTATTGAATAATTACTGTGTGCCAGGTGCTGTGCTAAATGTGCTCATTTGTTAGCTAATTTAATTCTTATAACAACCCTATGAGACACTATTAACTCAGTTGATGGGTGAAAAAATAGAGTATTAGAATGCTTAAATAACTAATACAATTTCACATGTATAGTAAACACCTTAGTTGGAATTTATAGCCAACTGCTTCCACATCCTTTATTATTACCCTATGATAAAATTTGCTTTTTGTATTTCCTAGACCAGCATTGGATAACAATTAAACTCTGAGATATCATGATAATTAGTTATTTTAGGAACCTTTTTGAAGCTTTGAAAAGTAACTCTTACAAAAGCAAATAGAAAGGAACATTAAATGAATAAATAAGATGTTCATTTTAGGTTTGTCATTTTTTTGTAAGGACTGACTGACTTGACTATTTCCTCTTAGTTTAACAATTTATCATTCCAATTATCCAAATTACGATTTTTCTAATAAATAATTATAAAGATGCATTAAACTTTAGAAAGAATATTTCATAGACTAAAGACCATATAGTACCTGGTATAAAGGACACTGAATAAGGCACTGGAAAATTTGTGTTCTATTTCTTCTTGGATATAGCTTGCTTTCCTATATGATTGGACAGGTACATAATACCAATATTTCCAAAAAGTATTCTTTTCAATTTTTAAAAATGTTTATTAGTGCTTTGTAATTATAAGAAAAGTGTTTTATGAAGTGCTTTGTGCAGAATGAGGAGCAGAGAGACCTGTGAATCACAATAAACTATGTTCCCATTCTCAGAAAAGCAAAGTGTATACTATCACTATATTATGCTCTATGAGAAAGCTTGTAGTAAACATGGCTAGATAATCTCATTTGGCAGCTTTCTTTCCATACTTTTGGCCCTTCAAATCTTCCTATTTGCAAAGCACAGAGTAACACCCTGTACATGGTTGGGTGGATAATATCTCTTAAGTTCCTTCCAATGATGAATCAATAGGTTTCTTAGTTCTGAATTCCCTTCCTCCATAGAGTTATCTTACTCTCTCTGCCTTCTGTAGTTTGGGAATACATTTTAAATATACCATTCTATTTTTTTTCTTTAACATAACACACAATCTAATTACACTTTATAATTTAAATTTCAAATCTCCATGAAACTTAAAAATGGAGGTATATTGTAGGGGTGAAAGTGTATTTTTATTACTGCTCTTATTTCTCTTCTTTGCTGTTTAGTAGTGTTAACTTTGCTTCTTTGTTCATAGAATGGGTTTTTCTTACCTGTAAAGGTAGCAAGAGATTAATATATAGAACAATTGTGTATATTTGTTGAAATATATTTATTCATATTTTGTGAAGTTGATGAATGTTATTACCCATTGTATGACTTAGACAAAATTCTTAATCACCCTACTTTTGGTGAAATTTGTCAGTTTCATTCATCCATTCATTTCACTATTATTTACTAAGTCCATACTTTGTATCAGGCCCTATGCAGACTATGTATTTAAAGATGAGCAATATATTGGGCTGGGGATGTGGCTCAAGCGGTAACACGCTCGCCTGGCATGTGTGCGGCCCGGGTTCGATCCTCAGCACCACATACAAACAAAGATGTTGTGTCTGCCGAAAACTAAAAAAAATAAAATAAAATATTTAAAATTCTCTCTCTGTCTCTCTGTCTCTCTCTCTCTCTGTCTCTCTCTTTAAAAAAAAAAGATGAGCAATATAGACATGGTCTAGCTTTTCCCTAGGTACTTTCTGGACTGGTAGACCATAGTAAAAATATAAGTAAAGAACTAATATATTTGGCTCACACTGGGAACATAGTAATCTGATTACTCTTATTGTCATCATATTACCACTGAAATACTTAGGTATTTTTGTCTAAAAATATTTAAATATCTAAAATATAAATACCTAATTGCTAATAGTACAACCCAAATACCTAAGTAAAATCTCTCCTATGATTTTTATGTATTTTTAATTTTTATTTTATTTATTTTTTTATGTGGTGCTGAGGATTGAACCCAGTGCCTCACATGTGCGAGGCAAGTGCTCTGCCACTGAACCACAACCCCAGCCCTCTCCAATGATATTATTACTCTATCTTGACTGAATTGTCACAGATGTTGTTTAAATTTAAGAAAAATAATATAATACCTTGAGTACTTTTAAATCAAAATTACAATGAAATAACTTGATATGTGATTTGTTTTTATGTTAGAATATACTGAATAAATAATATAAGGAAGATTGTCATGTTTCATTCAATAATCATATCTTTGGTTAATAAAACCCTTTTTGTGATCAATTATTTTATTTGCTATTATGACATTTACATTTTTCTCCTTTCCTCCTCTCATTACTAGATTGGTCACACCAAGGTTGTATTTTTGGAGCCAAGAATACTGTTCAGTAATAGTCCTCAAGGCTTAACAACTTGGAGGAAAGCCATATTACACAATGTAGGAAAAAACCATGCTTACTTCAAGGTACTATAGAATTTTGGTCATTTCTTATTTGAATCAGATCATATTATGATTTGATTTTATTTTTTGGCGCCATGAATTATATCAGAGTAATGCTTTATTCCCTATAAATAGAATTATGCTAATTTTAGATATTATATTTATGTAAGGATTTTCTGAGTACCTTTTAAATTCTCAGAAAAATGGTTTACTCACTTCCTTACTTAGTTACTCCCTTTCTTCTTATCTACTCCAGTTTTTACTTTCAGTTATTTGATTTCACTGAGAAATATTTTTAAATGTTTAAATATACATTATGATTAATTTACACTTTATATTTAGTTATGTGATTTTACTTTTCTCCTCATTTGCAGGACTTATAATAGCTACTGAGACATAAATGGAGGCAAGTCTGCAGATAGTCTGATATAATTGTTGCTCCTTATTTAAATGGAGGGAGGGGATAAGTGGTGATAGAGTTGTTTTATTTTTGCTAAAACAAATACATTAAACACCACCCAAAATAGTGGCATTAGAGATTGGCATTTAAGATTTTTCGTTCATGCTTTATATTAGCATCTCTTTTTCTGCCCAAATCAATTCTTGCCAAAATAAACAAATGAATAGATCCTTTTTCTACCATGCTTATTTCAGAATTTGTTCTTACCTGGATAGTCTATTTGTCCTCTTCTCCAAAATATTTTGGCCAATTTCCCTTTAAATTATTCTGACTTTAAGAATGATAAATAGGTTTAAACTGATCTCTAACAAAGCACAACCAAAAGCCTTATGACTTTTTGAAGATGAAAATGATATCTTAGATATTATGCATTCTATCAAGGAGATATAAAGAAGAGATTACTTCAGCATCCTGCCTCTCTGCTAACTTTGCTTAAACTTTTCAGTATCAGGGAAAAGAAAGCTGTCAGTGTTGTATGTACATACAATGTTGTCATGATCTCTAACAAATACATCTCAACCTTCTAAATTTTGCAGCTTTAATTACTACAACCACTATAGAAACTAGTACAGAGATTCCTCAAAAGACTAGGAATGGACCCACCATATGACCTAGCTCTCATACTCCTTGGTATTTATCCCAAAGAACCAAAATCTGCATAATACATGCATATTAATGCTTATAACAGCTCAATTTACAGCAGCCAAGTTATAGAACCATCCTAGGAGTCCTTCAATAGAAGATTGGATAGAGAAAATGTGGTTTATATACATAATGGCATTTTACTTAGCCATAAAGAAGAATGAAATTATACCATTTGCTGGTAAATGGATGGAACTGGAGAACAATATGCTAAGTGAAATATGCCTGATGTAAAAAGTCAAGGGTCAAATGTTTTGTCTTCTATGTGGAAGCTGGAGAAATAAGGAATTTAAAAGGGGGAATCTCATGAAAATAGAAAGGAGAAGAGTTGGGTAGAGAAAGGGGTACCGGGAAGAGGGATGGAGAGGGGCAGAGAGTGAAGAATGAAATTAACCAAATTATGCAATGTGTATGTATTAAAATATTACAATTAATTTCACTTTTATGTATAACCACAATTCATCAATTAAAAACAAATTTTAAGAAAGAAAATTAGTTGCAGTTTTGAACACACTTGAGGTAATAAACTTCATCATCCTATTTGAACTGGAAGGTGCCACTATTGAAGTTTCTTTTTAATGAATGAGGGCTGCAATTCCTTCTTGTAGTCCAAGCTATTTGTGTTTGATATTTCCAAACAACATTATAATACCTTATTCCCTATGTCCAGTGGTGTGGATGCTTTCCTGTGAAAGCTTTGAAGCAATAATTTTAGGGATAATGCAGCATTTCTGTACATTTTTAATTACAGGTTTGTGACCAGAGTCTTTTGCCCACCATTAAGATTATTCCATCAAAAGGAATAATTCCATTTGGGGGAATAACTATTCTTAATATCTCCTATACACCCGCTATGGCAGAAAAATTTGATACAAAAGCAAAGGTATGTTTGTTTATATATATGCCTCTCTCTATATATGTATTTTGTACTTTTTATATATCTATATGGGTTTGTTTGGTTCTTTAAAATATGCACAATACTAGTTATAGTACTATAAAATATGCACACATTTGTTTTTAGAAAATGTATTTTAAATTTCTTATTGGGAATGGAGTTTAAAGTTAATGACACTAAAGGTCAAATTTTTAGATTTCTATTATTTTAGAAATTGAATTAACTCTAAAATATGTCATTGTTAGAAATATAAAAAGGCAAACTTACATAAATAATCTAATATAAAGTTGTATAGCAGAACTTGGAGACAATTTGCAGAAAAATATTTCTGGTGAAAGTTGATAATGGAAATGTCTACATGAAATGAATACCTTCCATTAATATGGGACACTTTCACTTGAAATTGTAATATTTGGCATCTCTTGAGTTTTGACAAATCCTCACTAGTCATAGAGAAAAGAATGGCCTTTTTCATGGCATTACTTAGATTGCTCAAGGGAAAAATAGTCAATGATAGGATGCTAATTGATAACTATATGAATTGTATGCAAATTCAATACAATATAACATCTATATTTTATTACATAAATTGTTTTACTACTTTATTTCTAGGAATTATGTAAATGAAGTTACTAATTTTAGGTACTTCTGTAAGTGCTCCTTAAACAAAATAAAACATACAGGACCAGTTTGTGTAAAATTTCATTCAATTGTAAAACACAAGGAATGGAATGCTTTTTATCTTCAATTCAGGGATCAGATGTGTGCATTTAGCTTAAAAACATAGTATGTATGTATACTGTCATGAGATGGAAGGGAGTAGTTTCATACATATCTTCCACTTTCTCAATGTACCATAGCAATTAATGACTAAGAAATATGTAGCTTAAAGTAATGAACACTGATTTGCCTGGCCCGAAAATAAATAAATAACCTAAGAATGTTATCTTATTTTTATAAATAAGTATGTGTTGAAAGACATTTATAAATTAGATATTGTGATATGTGATATGAATCTTGGGCAAAATATTTTTAAACATAATATTCTGGAAAATAAAAAGTAAGAATTGTATTAAAATTCCACTGCATTTTAGAGGATTATGCTTTCTTTTTAACAAATCTTACTTTTTTAACATTATAAGTTTTATTTATTCTTCCATTGAACAGTCACATTATACATCAGTCTCTTTTGTATATGCTAAAGACACAATGTTGAACAAGATAATCAGGGTTCTTGATTTTGAAGAGTTTACAGTCTGGTGGAGATACATGAAAGTCAATAATTAAATTATGAATTATAAAAATATGTTTTAGAAAATAATGAAATGGAAAAATGCCCCAGCCAAAGAGACAGGAGATATATATATATATACCCCAGGCTTAACATATTTGGCAGGGTTTCTAGAGGAAGATACATCTAAAAGACACCTAAGTTTGAGAATCAGCCAGATTAAAAGGATGATAATGGTGTAGAGAAAGAGAAAAGGAAAGAATATTTAAGGAAGTACAAACAGCATGTGTTCAGACTTGGGGAAGAGACAGAGCTTTAAGACATATATGAGAAACTTAAAGTTTAGCATGACTGGATTTATAGACTACATGGATGATAGTAGATGAAAGACAGAGATCTGTGTGAGTTTTAGGTCATACAAGGCCTTTATCAGCATTAAGAAATACAAGCTTCATTTTAAGAGATAGGATTTTTAACCATGAAGATTTCACAATGATATTTACATTTATTAGAGATTGCTTGGGTTTTAGAGCAATAAGCTAGAACTGACAAGATTGACTGCAGAGTTATTAGTCTGATGAAAATGTCCAGATAAGAAAAAACCTGGTGTTCTCAGTTGAGAACAGTTTCCTCCGTCAGAAAATCAGATTCTAGAAAAATTCTAGTCAAATTTAGGAGATTAATGCTTAGGGCTTGGTGATTGAAAAGGGATCATATATAAGTGAGGGGGTGAGTCAAGGTTGAGGCAGATGGTGGCAACATTCAGTACAAGACAGAATGACAGAATAGTAGCATTTTTTATATGTATGTTTGAGTTTGAGGCAACTTTCAGATCACATAAAGATGCCTAAGTCAGTTACACACACTGTGCATATTAGTCTGAATGCTAAAGATAAATCTTAGATATGGCAGAGAATTTTTCTAATGTTGTTGTGAGCATATAGATGAGTGTAAGTGGATCAAATATAAATCATTATGTGAGAAGTTAGATAAATTTTGGAGGAAGTTGAATGAAGGGAATATGGAGACGGGTGAATTGGGGCTGCTCAAGGGATCATAATCCATCACAGGCTTGAAATTATCTGCTATTGTGATATTCAGAAAATATTGGCTTTGTAAATAAGTGAGAAAGGGATGGGGGGATTATGGGAAAAAGAAAGATGAATGAATGTATGGTTTCAGAAGCTGTGTATTTATGAGGGGTGGGTGGAATTGTCCAGAGGGAATTTTAAGTCTCTGGAGATGAGAAGGTCAAGAGGCCAATGGGCTAAGGGTGGTAAATGAGGAATAATGTACATTTGTACATTCATTGGAAATAATGATGGGGGAAGTAAAAGGAAGCCATGAATGTTAAGACTTATAAATGGGTTAATCAATGAAAAGCATGTCAATTTGAATCATTAAGTTATGTTTCTTAAGATTTTAGTGAAATATTATATGTATTATATACTCTTTCTATGGGAAGAACTATTTTACTTGGTCTCCTTGTTTTTCTTTAATTTTGAATAATTCATTGAGATTAAATTAAAAAAAATTACAGAGTTGCAATAAGGTCTAGTCAAATGGGTAAAACTCTAAAGTCAAATTTACAAACCACCAACTGATCCCATTTGAGAGTTTTAATTGTTGAACACTGTTAGGTGTATCAGTTCTGCAAAACAAATATGATGATAATTGCCAGAATAAGTTTGTACATTTATATTATGTCACTATTATTTAAATTATAAAGTTTTTTGTAAATGCCAAGAAATTCTTCAGCAATATATAATTATATTTTAATGTGGTTTTTATAATGTGTTACATTTTTCTTAAATAAGGTTGCTATTCGCCATGCAAATATCATAGACCTTAGGATTGGTGGATCTGTTGAGATTGCTAATATTGAAATAAACCCGGTGAGTATGTTGCCCATTTGTGTGGTCAGTTTTTAAGTATGGTGACTTTTATTTGTTATATATATCCTGAATTAGCTCATTTATGTTTAAAAATATTTTACTATGAAGCAATTTGACATAAAAATTAACATAGATAATATATATATATAAATGATGTAATAAAATATTAGAAGAATTTTTAAGAATTCCCCACTGAACTAGGTATTAGATCACTGCCAGTATGATTAAAATCATCTGTAGGCATCATCATGATCCTATCCATCATAACAGATAATCACTTTCCTATAATGACCACATATGTATATCACCTCAATCATTCATTTGTTTGTTCATTTTTGAGCTTTACAAATAAGACATACTGTTTGTAGCCTATTTGTAGTTGATAGTAATTGAACATTGTGTTTCCAACATTAATTTAATTTGTAACTGTATGTTATTCATTGTCATTGCTATATAATTGTTCCTTGTGTTGATATACTATAGTTTATATACTTATTCTGTTGGCCATCTAATTAGGTGTTTCTTCTTGTTGTTAATAAAATTACTTTAGCTGTGCCCATTTATATGCATATATTAAGAAGTACATATACAAGGGCTTCTAGGAATAGAGTTCCTAAGACATATAATTTGTACACGTCTGGGTTATCAAGATAATTTCTGAAATTTCTTCTTGAATTGCCATTGCTTCACATTCCATTGCTCTACAAATTGGATTGTCAGATTTGAATTTTTGACAATCAATTGTGTATGAAATGGTATCACATGATGTTCTCAATTTATATTTTCTGAACTGTAGTCACATTTATTTTGAAATTATTGTCTATACACCAGTATAATTTTGTGCTACAGTTGATAAAGTACATAAACACATACACACACAAACACACACACACACATACACACACACATCCCTTTTTCTCTTGGCCCATCCTTTAAGAATAAGATCTGGTGTTATCCACCCAAAGAAGCTTTCTTTGATTCTTAAAAGCAGGCCTGTATGCTTCTCCTTCATTGTGACATTTACTAGATGTTATGAATATGAACATACATATTTATTACATTTTATGAATAGAACTCTGGGAACATCTCTGTCATAACAGTTGTCATATTATTCTTGGGTTACCTGTACTTTTGATTTTGTTTTCTCATGCCACAGCACCTTGCACTAAATTAAAGTGAGCAACAGTTGCTGATTAAAGAGGTAATGTGGCTGCCTCAGGTAGGGACTTACTTCTAGTCTGTCCTTTAATGGCATCACCAAAATTCTAAGGACTGGTTTTAATTTATAATTTTTTTGCCCTCTGTTATTAAGTGATGAAGGCATGATAAGTCCAGACAAATTGACAGATACTAAGTTAGCTTGTCCAAGGATATGGTGATTCCTGAAGATTAGATCCAGTAGTTTCCAGAGTGTTTTATTCCATTGCTATTGTATTACTCCTTGAAAAAATTAGATAATATTGAGACTTCTATTACTTTATTTCCTCATTCTAAAGTCATTTGGTGCATGCTTTGCATGTTATAGTACAGTTTAATGGTTTATGGGACTTTGGATTACTATGTTTATCAAAATGCCCTTAATATTTTGAATTTTAGATGTAGTTGCCTCTTAAAAATAGTATTTTAGCATCACCAGATATTTTTTAAAATGCATTTAATAACTACTAGCTAATGGCTATTTAATTGAATATGTCTCTTGGTAACAATTAGGAAATTTTATCCAAATTAATGTATTGGCAAGATAAGAATGGGATAAGAGGAGTGATTTAAAAAAAAATATATATATATATATATATATCAAATTTTCATTATCTATTTTGGACTTTATAAATTTTATATGTAGAATTTTACATGGATTAACACTTTAATTTAAGTTGAGCTTTATTTAGTATTCTCCTCAATATTGCAATACTCCTGCCTTAATTTCCTTTTAATGTTCTATGTAATTCTTTTGCTAAAGAACTGTAGGGTATCTATAGTAATTCTGCCATAGGGAGAATTTTGTGATGTGGGTTCATGCTTGGTATATGAGCTGAAGTTCAGATATATTGGATAAACATTCTTTATATATTTAAGGTAGGTATTAAGTGCTAAAGATACAAAAATGAATCGGGCTCTTCAGTAGGAGATTCAGGTAATGTAAACAGACTATGTGATCTCACAATGTAAGTCAATATAAGGAACATAAGTGATCATGTGCACAGTGTGCTTAATTGTGGTTTATCTAACTGGGGTTTGATCACTATATAACATTTTATTAGGCAATTAATAGTTAGGGAAGGACCTTTCTAGCAGAAGAGGCACCACAAGACACAGAAAGGTGAAGCATCAGGTGCTGGTTAGAAATGACAAGTCATGTAGCTTGCTGAAATATTAAGTGCTAAGGTGAGAGTGGAGCTCGTTGAGGCTGTGACATGGGGCAGGAAAGGTCAGGAGGAGTTTTATGACCTTGCTAATGAGCTTCTACATTGTCCTATAGTTGGTGGGGGACCATAAGATTTTAAGACAGGCAGTGAAATGACCAGTCTCTCAATTAGTTTAATAGTGGCTTAGTTATACAGAGAAGAATTTAAGAAAGTTAAAATCGGGAAACTAAATGAAAAGTGACAAGTTACTCATTTCATCCAGTTAAAATGAGGGTAAGAGGTGAGGAAGGTTACAGAATTAATGGAACGTGGTAATTGATTATATATAGGAGATGGGAAGAGGAAATGACTAATTTTTGTAGAGTTCTCCTTTGATGTTATTTTCTTTGATAAACATAAAAACATAATTTTGAGTATATATTTTTCATAAGCCATTACTATGTTTTCTAATGATTGTTTCTTTTTAAATTTTAGAATGTATTTAATTTCAATGGCACTTATGTTGGTGCTACCCAAATTATTCCCTTTGTAATAAAAAACAAAGGTATAACACGTGCCATAGTGGACTTTGATTTTAAAAACTTTCCAGATTTTTCAATGGATTTTAAGGACAAATCAGGTATGCATTTTGTGCCATAATTGTGTTATTGTAAAGCAAAATTATTCTAAATTGCCCTGAGGTGAAATTGTTAAAATTTTAAGTCAGGGGCAGTTATTTAACATATATTTTTAATGACTCAATGCGTGCTTTTCTTATACTTTGACTCATCATTATTGTACTTCTAGAAATGTATCAATTTGAATTGTAGAACCTTTGGTGACACATGATATAACCATACTTATTAGTTGGCATAATACAGTAATTTAAGTGTTACATGTAAGTATATACTATAAATGAAAATAAAATTATCAGTTTTTATTTTTGGTAGTTCTGGGGATTGAACCTAGGTCCTTGAGCATGCTAGGCAAACACTCTACCACTAAGCTATAACCCCAGCCTTTAATTGTTAGTGTTAAATGCTCAAGAATTTTAAGTAAATGTCTCTGGAGAGTTCCCTCTGTAGGTTTATTCATGTAATAGGACTCTTTATATTAAATTTGATTTAAACAAAATATGCATTTTTATAAGTGCAGTTCATCTGTTTACTCCAGGAGTTGACAAACTAAAGCCTATGGGCCATGTCTGGTCTAACACCTGTTTTTTTAAAGTTTTATTAGAACACAGACATACTCATTTGTATATTTTTAATGGCTGCCTTTATGTTATAATGGCAGTTGAATAGTTGTGTTAGGAAACATATGTCTTATAAAGTCTAAAATATTTACCATCTGGGCTCCTACAGAAAGTTTCCTCACCATTGGTTGAGTCATTTCTTCTTCAATGAATATTGATTGAATCCCAATTACAGGCTACATACTAGTCTTTGAGTCTGCGAAGATAAGTGAGACATCTTAAATGTCCTTAAGAAGTGAACAATAAGTTTGTGTCAGAATCTCAGAAGTAAACAGATGACTCAGAGGATTTAACTGAAGAGAATTTAATAAAGGAATTATCTATTGAGGTTTGGGCAGGATTAAAAGAAACCAACAAGGGAAGGTAGCTGCTGCCACCTCTAGGCTTGAAGGAGCAAGAAGAAAGCAGATATTATTGCAGTCTACTGGAAGGTCAAACTGTAAGAGGAGCCAATCCAAAAGTGGTATAGTTATAAAGAAATGCAGTCATTGCCAGACCTCCAACTAAGGCAGTGTTGATGTGGGAGCATAGGTATTTTATCTTTCTTTTACCCTCCTACCCTGTGATATTTTGCTGGTGCCTTTCCATGATGAAACCCAACCAGGGGCAGAAGACAAGGTAGTACATAAGTTAATTTGAATAACAATTAACTATTTACAATAAAATTATTCTTAAAATGTCCTAAAATTTTAATCATTATAAATATTTTAATAGGTCAATTCTCTTCTTTTACCACTTATTGATTTTCAAAATGATCACTTTAGGATTGATTATTCATTAGAGTGATTTATGGGAAATGTTAGGATATATTTGGGTATGACCTCACCTTGTCTTTCCAGTCATCTCTCCCATTACAGTAACCATAGGCTGTCTCTGCTGGAGCCATGTTCTATTATTACACATTTTCTTGAACTAAGCTTCCCTTCTCCTAGGATGATTTCATTCTCTTTCTGCTCCTCAAGGTGCCACCTTCTGTTATAAACTAGTTTCAACCTCTTAAGTCCTGTGTATTATTAGTCCCCTCTGCACTGTAAACCAGTTGGTAAAAATCAATTTTTTTAAGCATTGATCCATAAGACATTGTGTAAGTTTTGTTATAGCAATAACTGAATTCTGTCTGGTGTCAAAAGGAGCTGTGTACATGATTATACATGTATATACTAGATGGTAAACTCTATGAAGTTAAAGAGTACACTTAAATTTTTGTTTTATTCTAGAGTTGTCCGATATGATTCTATGGGTTTAATACTCGATCAGGAAGTATTTATTGAAGCAAGCTTGAATTATTATATTTTATAAGCTGTATGTTTATGTATACTCCAAATTGACTTGTGAATATTGATTTAAATCATCCATTTAATAGTTTTTATGTTCTAGATACACATCTATTCTAGATGATTATTCTTTGTTATATAATATTTGTATTTTTACTACACTACGAATAATATGGTGGTTTTATTCATTTGTTTGTTAAATGGTTTTCCCATCTTGCCAAGGGTGTATGAAATTGAATGGGAACAAGAGAATGAAATAAGTAATTAAATTTTATTTCCAGATAGGAACAATCGAAATTTGTAGGATTTTTAAAATTAATTGGAAAACTTTAGGAAGAAAATAGGATTTTTATAATTGTTTAGATGAGAAGTTCCACTGCAACTTTCATTTAATCATTCAGGAATTTATTTAAGTGTTTATCATTTTTTATCCTGAAGTTTGCATTAGTGTGGTACAATTGTTTCTGTATCATTACCTAATGATTTTGTTCCTGGAATCCTTCCATTTTTTAAAAGAATTTTTCTTGTTATTTGTATTATTTTATTTGACCTTTCTGAGATCTATTTCATAGCAGAATGATCATAGTTAACAATAATTTCGGGCTGGGGTTGTGGCTTAGCGGCAGAGCACTCGCCTAGCATGTGTGAGGTTTGATCCTCAGCATCACATAAAAATAAATACATAAAGGTATAAAAAAATGTATATTTCAAAATAGCTGAGAGTAAATTTCAAATGTCTCATCAAAAGAAGAATGAGTAAATGAGGTGATGGATATATGGATCTTGCTCTTTATTCCTTTCCATATTTATTTTTGAATATGACTGTATTTTGTGAATTTTGGAGAGCTTTTAAATGGATTTATTGTCTCTGATTTTCTGACTGAAAGAATGTTGCAAGTTTGGATATCAGTTTTGCTGATTAGAATCTTAGTATTAAGAACCATCTTTACCTAGCAACTTCATGTAGCCCTTCACAGTTATGTCAATACTTGCTTTGCTTTTTTGATTGTTATGAATATATTCATGAGATTTTTCTAATTTCACAGTTTTCCATTAAATAATGCTCTTTAGATATGTATCTGGCTATGTTGGGGATGTGGCTCAGTGGTAGAGTGCTTGCTTGGCATGTATGAGGCCCTGGGATGGATCCCTAGCATGAGTTAAAAAAAAAAAAATGGAAATGAGGAAAACCACTCTATTCACAATATCCTCAAAGAAAATAAGATACTTGTGAATCAACCTAACAAAAGAGGTGAAAGATTTATACAATGAAAACTACAGAACCCTAAAGAGAGAGATAGAAGAAGATCTTAGAAGATGGAAAAATGTACCCTGTTCATGGATAGGCAGAACTAACATCATCAAAATGGCAATATTACCAAAAGCTCTCTATAGGTTTAATGCGATGCCAATCAAAATCCCAACGGCATTTCTTGTAAAAATAGATAAAGCAGTTATGAAATTCATATGGAAAAACAAAAGACCCAGAATAGTAAAAGCAATTCTAAGCAGGAAGTATGAATCTGGAGGTATAGCGATACCAGAGTTCAAACTGTACTACAAAGCAATAGTAACAAAAACATCGTGGTACTGGTACCAAAACAGACAGGTGGACCAATGGTACAGAATAGAGGACACAAAAACCAATCCACAAAAGTACAACTTTCTTATATTTGATAAGGGGGCTAAAAGCATACAATGGAGGAAGGATAGCATCTTCAACAAATGGTGCTGGGAAAATTGGAAATCCATATGCAACAAAATGAAACTGAATCCCTTTCTCTCGCCATGCACAAAAGTTAACTCAAAATGGATCAAGGACCTATATATCAAATCAGAGACACTGCATCTGATAGAAGAAAAAGTTGGCTACGATCTACATATTGTGGGGTCGGGCTCCAAATTCCTTAATAGGATGCCCATAGCCCAAGAGTTAATAACAAGAATAAACAAATGGGACTTACTTAAACTAAAAAGTTTTTCCTCAGCAAGAGAAACAATAAGAGAGGTAAATAGGGAGCCTACATCCTGGGAACAAATTTTTACCCCTCACACTTCAGATAGAGCCCTAATATCCAGAATATACAAAGAACTCAAAAAATTAAACAATAAGATAACAAATAACCCAATCAACAAATGGGCCAAGGACCTGAACAGACACTTCTCAGAGGAGGACATACAATCAATCAACAAGTACATGAAAAAATGCTCACCATCTCTAGCAGTCAGAGAAATGCAAATTAAAACCACCCTAAGATACCATCTCACTCCAGTAAGATTGGCAGCCATTATGAAGTCAACAATAAGTGTTGGCGAGGATGTGGGGAAAAGGGTACACTTGTACACTGCTGGTGGGACTGCAAATTGGTGCGGCCAATTTGGAAAGCAGTATGGAGATTCCTGAGAAAACTGGGAATGGATCCACCATTTGACCCAGCTATCGCCCTTCTCGGACTATTCCCTGAGGATCTTAAAAGAGCGTACTATAGGGATACTGCCACATCAATGATCATAGCGGTACAATTCACAATAGCTAGACTGTGGAACCAACCTAGATGCCCTTCAATAGATGAATGTATAAAAAAAATGTGGCATCTATACACAATGGAGTATTATGCAGCACTAAAAAGTGACAAAATCATAGAATTTGCAGGGAAATGGATGGCATTAGAACAGATTATGCTAAGTGAAGCTAGCCAATCCTTAAAAAACAAATGCCAAATATCTTCTTTGATATAAAGAGAGCAACTAAGAACAGAATGGGGAGGAAGAGCATGAGGAAAAGATTAACATTAAACATAGACGAGTAGGGGGAGAGAAAGGGAGAGAGAAGGGAAAGCATATGGAAATGGTAGGAGACCCTCATTGTAACACAAAATTACATATAAGAGGTTGTGAGGGGAAAGGGGGGGGAACAAGGGAGAGAATTGAACAACAACAGATGAGGTAGAGAGGGAAGATCGGAGGGGAGGGTAGTGGGGATAGTAGGGGATAGGAAAGGCAGCAGAATACAACAGTTACTAATATGGCATTATGTAAAATTGTGAATGTGTAACTGATGTGATTCTGCAATTTGTATTTGGGGTAAAAATGGGAGTTCATAACTCACCTGAATCAAATTGATGAACGATGATATGTCATGAGCTTTGTAATGTTTTGAACAACCAATAATAAAAAAAAAACCAACTAATATATATCTGGATGCTATATTTTATATGTACTTTTTCCTATCTTATAGGAGAAGTCCCAAGCCCTGCAGTTCCTGGTATATATTCCTTGAAGATAGAAGAAAACACATCTTTGGAATGTGGCATATCATTTTCTCCCAAAGAAGTAAGTTCAGCTTTCTACTACTCAAGAGTAGTAGAATTACAGATAATTCTAGCCAAAAACCTATTAAAGATCATCCAAGTTCTGTGTATAGTGGGTCTTTTTCTGGCTAGTCAGCATGCCTAGGTGTACTCTTGAATTCAGTAAAATGATTACTAGCAGTATCTAGTACGTTTACAGAGTCTCTCAAAAGGAATAGAGGACACATGCAGGGACTCTATGATTGTATGATCTTTTGCTATGCTCTCTGGAAAATTCAAGATATGACGTGTTGTGCAGGAGAGGAAAAGTTTAAGCTTATCAAAGAAATCACTTATACTCAAGCCAACTTGTGCTTTACACTTATGGTTGAATGGTGTATGCTTAGTATTTTACAATCATTACCTGAAATTAATAAAGACATGTTGTAAACACTTAAGAGGGGTTGCTATAATATTTGTTTTACATTGTCCCCTTGGTGTTTAGTGATTTTAAAAAAAATAAACTAAATCAAAGAAAAACCTGGAAGGAAGTGATACCACTGGTTAAGTTTCAAGAGTGAGCTCTGGTATGCTTTTGCTTCAGAGGTTCTAAAATAATAGTGCCAAGGAGACAGTTTCTCTCTATACATACTGTGGAAGCATATGCTGCTGCATCATTCCAAATAAGAATCAAACTTCTGGGCTGGGGATATGGCTCAAGCGGTAGCGCACTCGCCTGGAATGCGTGCGGCCCGGGTTCGATCCTCAGCACCACATACAAAGATGTTGTGTCTGCCGAGAACTAAAATAAATAAATAAATAAATATTTAAAAAAAAACAAACAAACAAAAAAAAAAAGAATCAAACTTCTATATGACAATCAGAGTGTAAGATGTATATGTACAACTGTTAAACAAATATTCCACAAATTGATGCTTTGTGACCTGAAAGTGAAAATAGCATTGAGTAAGTCAAAGTAATAAAAATCACTATCTTTAATGTTGCATTTATTTTACTAATGTAATTTTTTACTCAGATTGAAATGTTATTTTAGGAACAATGATAGCTATTATTGAGCTCTCAGGAAGAAAAAGTAAAGAACTTATGGACAAGTTCAGGTGATTAAATTTTGTCATTCTTAAGTATGGTACATTAATTGGGATAAGTTTTGTGGGTTTGTGCACCTATGATTCACATGGGGTGATATTGTCCTCAAGGTCCATTCTTCTGTTTATTCCAATTTTGGACAAGCACAGTGGAAGAGGTGGCAAAGGCTCTTTTTCCAACATCAAAACAAATGAAAATTCTTTTATATCCAATATTAAGTGTACTCAGATGTATCCTAAACTATTCATTTTCCATGGGTTTAATGTAAAGTAATTATTTGTCCTGATTCCTGAGTAGTGATATTTAGGTAGGTACAGTTTAGCAAGATTGCCAAGAAAGTACAGAACATCTTTGACTTTAAAAAAAAAAATCATCCTAAGGATGTTTTCCTTCAGCCTAATTTAGGCTATGAAGTATTATCAAATGGAAATATTATTATTTAGATTTTTCTTCTATTTTTTCAGTGAAGGATATTTTGGTACATTAAATGTTGTCAAATTATTTCAATATTTGTTAAATTAGGCAAAATCTCATTTGTCTATCTAATTCAGACAAAAAAGCATAATTAACAAAAGTAATATGGAGAGCTTCAGAGGATATTTATCTTTTTAATTTTATATTCCTCTAATACCTTCCAAAAGCTACTTTCTCTCTCATATATCTTAGTCATTTGCATGTTTTATTAGAATAAACTTATATTTTAATCTCAATAAATGATGTTCTCTTTCTGATTATTGAAGTTTATTACCCCATTTAAATGGGGAATTCATTAGAGTAGAAAGAAAAATAAACAAAATTCTAAATTTTAATAATAATGACTACTGGCAATATTTTGTTTTGTCTCTTGTATGTATCTCGTATCAGATTCTGTGTTCTCCTGTTTTGTTGAGGAATCTTGCTTCCATTCCCAGATATTTGATTTTATTTTGTTTCCCTTTGGGTATCTTTGTCTGGTTTTGGTATTAGGGCAATATTGACTCTTTATAATGAGTTGGAAAGTGGTTTCAAATCTTTCATTTTTGTCATAATATGTAAGGGATTTGATTAACTCTTCCTGAAATTAGTTTATTTCATCATTGAAGTCATCTTGTCCTGGCCTTTTCTTTGTCAGATTTTCAAAAATTATTAATTCAATATGTTGTCAATTCTATTAGCCTGTTATAGGTCTATTCAAAATTTCGATTTCTTCTTGAGATATTTTATGTAAGTAATTTCTTGGCAGACAGGTATTCATTGTGTTGTTCTTTTTTATTTACCTAAATAGTTAATAATGTCATTTCTTTCATTCCTGATTTTATGAAATAAGTCATTTCTTTTTATCTTGATCAACCTACTTTAAGTTTTATGAATTTTTTAATATTTTCAAGATCCAACTTTTGGTATTGATTTTCTGTTTTATTAATTTTTACCTTTTATTATTTATTTCCTTCTATTTGCTTTGGACTTGATTTGCTCTTATGTTTTCTTATTTTTAAGGGTAGAATGTTAGGGCATTGACTAGAGATCCTTCTCATCTTTTTTATATAGGCTTAGTGCTATATATTTCCCTCTAACTACTGCTTTACATTTAGCTCAAGAGTTTTAATATATTGTGTTTTCATTCTTATTCATCAAAATGTCCTATGTAATTTATTTTGAACTCATTGGTTATTTAGGTGTAGTTAATTTCCACTTACCTATGAATTTATCATTTCATTTTGTTACTCCTAATATAATCCTATTATAGTTAAAAGGCGTATTGTTACATTTAAGTTAAATTGATTTTGGGTTGTTTTATTACACTCTGTAGGTTAATTATGTTAAACTCAAAACTATAGGAGTTAGAAATGATTACATGTGATGTGTTATCTGTATGATGGTGCATGTCTGTGTATAATCACAGAAGGAAGGAATTGCTTAAAATAATAATTTTAATAATTAAAGATTATTAAAAATAATCTTTGTAGGATGATTTTCAAATATATATTGTTATAATTTTGATTTTTAAATCCCTAAATTAATGAAAACAAAGTAATCTTGTGACATTTAAAAATTCTGAAAAATTAAGATACGTCATTCTGCACAAAGCTTGCATCTTGCATGTTCATAGAAGCATTCACACACAAACACACTTTTCAATAAGGAAGAAATGAATCTTACCTTCTTTACAGTAATTTAATCCATATTTTTAAAAGTATGTTAAGGTTTTGTTCTTAATAAGTCTATATAGTGAGTTTACATTTTCATATAATGGAAATGTATACAAAAATGTTTTACTTAAGAATCACAGAAAATTTTAAAAATCCTTAATTTAGTTTAAATGTCTCACATGATTTTGTGGGTAAATGCATATGCAATATGATATTTTGACTCTGACTCACTGTTTAACACAGTCAACAATTAAATATTAGAAATCTATTTATTAGTGTTTAGATTGTGGCTCTTCCAGGATTCTAGAAATTGATTATACAATTATATATATATATATATATATATATACACTCATAATATATAAATATAAATATATATGCATATATATATATATTTCTGTGCAGTGATATACTTTGCTTAATATTTTGAATCATTCTAAATTGAAAGGGAAATTTTCTCAGTGTACTGGAGTGTAATTTAGTACAGCAATGAAAAGAACATGTAAAATACTGCAGAGACAGCACATCCTATGAGAATTTACTTTATGAATTAGTGCCAGCAAGGCAAGATTGATTTTCTGAGTTCCAGTCATTTCAGATGCCCTTTACTCTGTTTAAAGTTAGGTATAAGTTGTTTGTCTTTGTGTGAGTATATGTGTAAATGTAAATAGCCAATGGGTGCTCTTTTGGTGAACCATATAATAGGAAAATGTGAAATCAGCCAGAAGAGTCGATTTATTTCTAGTTGTAACCCTTTTCAACACTGCACCAGATTTGAGCACAATCAAAAATACTGTTGGTAAATAGCCTAACATTAAATCTCTAAACCCTAGAAAAGGAAGAACAAATCAACATCAAAAGTAGTAAGAAGACAGGAAATAATTAAAATCAGAGCTGAAATCAATGGAATTGAAAGAAAACAAAAAAAAAAAAATCCCCCAAATCAACAAATACTGTGACCAGCATGGCCAATCTAGCGGGTTCTGGCGAGGGGTGGAGGGGGATAAGAAAAATAAGAACTCACACACGTACAGATGTTTTTGAAGATAAAGCTGGAGTTGGATGGAGTGCTACTCTCTGATGGAGAAGCAGGCCTAAAGAGTTTTGGCAACAATCTTTATATATGTCTCTTCATCAGGTTAAAGACTATTCAAGCATTATTCTTTGTACTCAGAAAGTTACAGGGCTAGCAACATTATGTAGTTTTTCTGCAGTTACATTCTACAGTTGCAATATGCAATGTTAGGAGCTTTGTGTAGCTCTCAAGAAAAGTCCATTGTTTAAAGCTACTGTTAGGTGGGCAGTTTCAGGAGTAGCAGAGCTAGTGAAACATTATGGTTGTCTAGCAAGAAAGTTCCTTTATTCCCAGGAGCTATGTGCCTGAGATCAAGGTCAAGGCTGATAAGACTCTAGCACAGAGCCTCCTAGTGGAGAGCATTACCACAGCAGTGAGGCATCCTGCACGTTTGCACAGAAACATTCCTAGGCACCACACATGTCACAGCCATGAGGTCCTCAGAGACCCCAATTAATTCTTTGAAAAAAATAAATAAAATTGATAAACCCTTAGCCAAGCTAACAGAGAAAGAGAAAACTCACATTACTAAAATATTTAATAGATAAGGAAATATCATGGCTGGGGTTGTGGCTCAGTGGTAGAGTGCTCTCAACTAGTATGCATGAGGCACTGGGTTCAATTTTCAATACCACATAAATATAAAATAAAAATGTTATGTCTACCTAAAACTAAAAAATATTTTTTAAGAAAGGAAGTACTACAATGGACACTACTGAAATATAAACAATA